GAAAGCTAAATTTTTCAGAAGCAAAAAATTATTTCAAATTTTTTTGTGTGCTTATAATTCAGAAAGTATAAGCTGTTTTTTGTTACTTTCACTATATAGCCTAATTCAAAAATGTCCTCTGTGATGTAACATAACCAATTTTTGAATTGAACAATCATGGCCCACCCTGCATTATTTTAAAGATTAAATGGAAAGACATTCATTCTTTTACTTTAAGCTAGTTTGAAATCTTACTTGGGTGTATGTCCATTTTGTTATTGTGAATACTGAAAAAGCCAAAAACATCAGTGCATTTTGAGATACAATAATACCTCGACTTACACTACCCCGACTTACGCGAACCCGGAGTTATGTGATTTTCAAATCTCGTTGATTCGTCTTTTGTTTGAGCACCACGCAACTCGATTACTCACTCCCCCTGCACTATTGTTCAGCTTACATGTTCGGACGTGTCGCGTGGAATCGACACATAGCTACAATTTATTTTGTGTTATTTGTTTCTGTGTTTGTTATATCTACGGAGACTCGAGAGACTCTATTTGGTGATTTCTCGTAACTGTGAACAAATCAAAAGACGAGATAAGGTTAACAAGAACATTTATTAGCTTACATACATCCGACTTGGATTTTACACAAATTGCAAAATTATACCCTGACTTACGCGAATTCGACTTACGCGGTTATCGCTCGGTCCCACTTATCGCGTAAGTTCGGGGTATTACTGTACCATAAATCTTCCAACAGATACCCAGGCTTGATGTATATAAGAGATTTGTTCTCTCACAAAATTTCACATCTAAACTAAGGATAAAAAAGAAGGAAATATGATTCAATCTTTTCTGCCACCACCTCCATGGTTTTCCCTAGCCATTTTTTTCACCAAATAATGAAAACTGTTAATAATTCAAAATAACTTTTTCTTTTTATTTAATAGAAGAGCACATTATTACACAACATCATTACTACTGTAAGCATAAAGTTATTGTGAAAATGCGAGAGCAGAGAGCAGTTTATTTGAAAACTTATTCATTTTATTTGTCACGTTTCTTAAGAGATTGTTTGTCAAGTGGGAAAATCTATGTAATATTTTATCTATCAAATAGATAAAAAATCGTCATTTTATATGGGAAAGGAAAGTAGAACTTTCCTTAGAAAGTTCTTATCTAATTTATTTGACGAACATTTGTCTCTTGTGTCAGATGTGTGTCTGGTCAGAGAATCAGAATCCTACAATCTGATTGGTGGGAAGCTGCCATAAGAATAGCAACAGAAGAGATTTGCTGTTCCAACTCAACAGCATTCATCTTGCATTCTCTACGTTTGATTAACAGAGGTATTATTATTATTATTATTATTATTATTTTTATTTTTAACCGATTGTAAACTCTCTCTCTCAGTATTAGAGGCATTTTAGATAGACTTGGTTTATGATAGGTTATATTATATCTTGCTTTATGTACCTCTTTGTTTTATTTTACTTATTAAATCCTTTTTGTTATTGTTAACCTGTTGATCCCTTTCCCAAGTATAGACATTCACCTCGCTACAATCGGAACTTACCTGTGACTTAGCCCTGCTCATTAGAATAGAGCCCTCCGTTTAAACATAGCACGTATCATTGCAAGTTAGGGTGCAAAACTTTTACCTAGCTGATGTGAGTCCTGACAGTTAGTTAAACAGATCGAAAGATTCTGATGACATTTTATTTAAAACCATCCAGTGACTCTGTGAGTAGATCTAATAGTTCTAACGACTAGAGGGTATTACACCCTTGCGCGTGATCTCACATTATTACGATTTTACAGTATCTGTGATTTAACTGAAGTCATCATCACTGTAGAGAACTTATAATGTTCCCCTTATTCATTGTCTTCACTGTAGATTATAACTTCATTACAAGAGAACAATGTAAAAGCTGAGTTTATTCTCAGTTTTTACATTGTTCTCTTCCTCATGTGCAGATTAGGATTCATATGTTACTTTCAAGCTTCCAATAGATTTTTGCTGCCAAGGCACAGCTCCTCAGATTTGAAACAGTTTGATCTTTGCTGCTGTCTGTCTTGATAGCCAAAGTGCAGTTTTTGAGGGAGTGACAGATCATTTCATTTGTAACATTTTCCAGGCTTGTTGAATTCAAAAAGTTGTCAGATATTGAAAAGGCACTTTGAGATTTCTCTTGTGTATGTGCTGCTTCTCTTTGTCATTCATCATTCAAGTGTTAGAACTGATGTATTATGTCCTTGAAGGGCTTATTTCACATCAAATCCTCTGCTTGAATATATAGTCAAACCTCATTTTTCGAATGTAATTTATTCCTAAAAACATGTTCTAAAACTGATTTGTTCTAAAACCCAAAAATATTTTCGCATGTAAAGCAACACAAAATGGATTAATCCATTCCTGACTCAAGTGAGGAAAAAATATATAGTGGTGTCTTGTATAACGTACACCTCGAATAACAGATGCTGCGAACAACAGACTTTCTGTTTGGCTGTTACATGACTCGAGCAGTGGACTGGCTGTGAACAATGGACTTTCTGCAAACAAGTGCAAATGATGTTTCCACTCTTTTTCTGTTGCCAACGACAATCTGCTATTTTTATAATATATTAGTATTATTAGAATATATTATTAGTATATCTGAAGTACAGAGCCCCGTTGTGATTCAGCTTACTCCCTTACATCACCTCAATGCAGGGTATTTACATTTATTCAAGTGTTGTGCAAATCATGGTTTCTAAAAAAACAGAAAGGTGATTTCAATTGAAACAAAGAAAGACATCATCAGAAGGAGTGAAAGTTGACAAAAACTTCCTTGTCAAATGGGGAGAGGTTCAGGAGTTTACCAACACTCATTGTCCAAACAGAGCTGAGGCCAACAGGATCAATGATCTCTACAATGACACCTTTGCCCGTCATTTCTGACAGGTGTTGTAGAAGAGAAAGAAACAGACCACCTTGGACATGTTTGTCAATAAGCCAGCTGCCAAAAATCAAAGGATGGAACAAGAGGAGTTGACACTGCAAGCTCCTGGTAGCCTCTCCTGAATCTAACTCTGATTAAAAAACAATAAAAAGAGACCTGCTGCAATGTGTAAAAAGTCTGTATCTGTATGAATGTGTGAAGAAAGTGTACCTCCACCTCCTCCTCACAACATCTCACTACCTGGCATAATTGGTGACTGCTCCATTTTCAATTTTTTTATGGAACAGTAGGATTATTTTATGCTGCGGAACGAATTATATGTTTTAACATGTATTTCTATGGTAAAATGCATTTCATATAATGGACTTTTCACTTAACGGGCGTGCACCTGGAACGGATTAAGTACGTTATACGAGGCACTACTGTATAAAATTTGAATAATGATGTTTTTAAAAGCTTTTTACATTAAGTGAACATAAGAATTTTTTTTTAACCTAAACATGTTAGAATTTGAGCATGTGCAATAGTTTTGATTTAAATTTAGAACAAATACAGAGAGGATTCTTAATATATAAAATGTGATTAAAGAAATTAAATAAAATACAAAAATAGATAGCTAAGATGAAATACAATATAGAATTATGAGTAAATAAAATAAAATAAAAGCTAAAAAAGTTAAAACAAAAATAAAGTCTACACTTTATTTTTGTTTTAACTTTTAATAAAAGTTATAGTTTAAATTTTTATAAAGTGATCTATATATCATGGATTTCTACAGTAGAGAGTTGCAGGGTTTTAATAAAGATATGTATAATGACTCCTAGATGAACAAGGTTCTGTGATCTAAATATCACTTAAGAATGAAAGTGTGGACCCATAATGGTATAAAGTTATTATCTAATAAATTTCTTGCAAGGTCAGTGGAGGGTGTGTTATTTTTACATCATCCTGGTATTCATTTAAATGATTTAATAGCTACTATTTACATAGTTGTGGCACCTATGTAAAAGATCTTTGTTCCCATTTGCACTTGCTGTAATGGGACTATATACACTCCAGACTTCTCCAAAAGGGTAAGAGAATCTTTATTATTACGTAAAATTCTGTGGAGTGATGGTTTTACTTTAACGGTAAGTGTGGCCCCATGTCTTTTGTAAGCTCAAACTATTTGTAACAGGCCCTAAGTATGAAATAGGAGGTTTTGCAAATATTAGGTTCTTGTTTTTTATCGTTGGAATGGAGGGTGATGGGTGGGAAGAGAGAACTGTGGATTAAGTTGATAAATTTAAACTTTGAGTTTGTATATCTAGCATTGCATACAATGGTAGCTACTATTTGCAATTCATCTTGTATCAAAGCTGAAGATGAGGGGCACAAATATGACCTGCAAATGAGAGCAGATATAGCTGCATTTACCTATCCCAGAAGGCTGGAAGGAAGAAGCTATCCATTTTCTTATTTTATTTAATTTCTTTATTAATCACATTTTATATATTGAGAACACACACTGTATTTGTCTTAAATTTAAATCAAAATTATCACACTGTAATGTATCATGTGACACAAAAAGGCAGGATTACACAATTAGGCTTCAAATCAAGTACCAGGCCTGAACTTAATTGGAAGCAAAATACAATGATCCAAAATAACACTTATATAAGTAAAAATTCACAATAATGTTTATTAGATTGAACAGTATTGTATATATAAACAACATTGATTATAACAAGAATTAGTAATAAGTATATATTTCAAATATTAAAATAAAAAGTCAAGATCAATTATATACAAAATAAACAATCAATGAGAGAAATTATTTTTCATATAATCAATCAAATCTCCACCTAAATAATTAAAGAAAGAACATATTTCTTACAAGCTGATTGCTTATTAAAGAATGCTAGGCAATTTGCTTCAGTGAAGGTTACTATCGGGAGCTACACCACATCATTGAACTGGTGTGTCGTCTTTTTATCTGTTCACAAGTATAACTATGCACTACCCTACTTACATATCTGCACGTCACAGGATCAGTACTCATGTAAATTAGTACATTTTGTCTTTATTTTTAAATTTAGCATTTTTGGGGTTTCTTGGGAGTTACCATCCTTAAAAATAGACTCTGAATAAGAAAATAATAACAAAATAATTCCCAAAACATAAAATAATGATTGGACTTTGACTCCTTACAAAACACATTTGAATTCTAACATGTTTAGGTTAAAAAACATTCTTAGGTTCGCTTAATATAAAGAGTTTTTAAAAAATTGTTATTCGAAATTTTATATATTCTTACTTTGTTTGAGGATTACATTTTGAAATGTTAAAAGTACTTGCGTGTATTTAATTCATCAAGTAAATAATTTTAATATTGAAAGATAGTACAATTTCTTCCTTGTACATTTGGCATTGTATGTGAGTATATGAATTTTTGCATTTACTTTGAAGGCAGCATTGTAAGATCTATTGGTTGCCATTCTGATCAGCATCTAATTGACTGATATGTATAAAATGAAGAGTTTGAAACAGAATATATGGAAAGATGCACACACTCATATTATATACAGTATATCTCAGTTACGGCTCATATCATGGGAAAAATATTTTTCAAAGATTTCCATAGGAAAATTACTTCAGCATGTATAGAACACTCAAGCTTCTAGAGCTGCATGCAGGAATTTAATGACAGCAAGTATCTATTGAAAACCTGATGTCTATTGGAGGATTTATAGTTCACACATGTACTACAGTACAGTTGATTATACAAATAAATTTGAATATATTTAATAAGTAATAAGATGCATCATGATTTTGAAGTCAAAATTTAAAATTGTTTTTAATGAAGGAAATTTTTTTATTAACCAATTATATTAGCTTTTGTTCAATAACAAATTAGAAAAAACAAACACAAATTTCATGATATAAATAATGCTTGGTACCTCCATTTTCAGAACTTTGTATATACTTTTAATGCTGCCTTCATAATGTAGTTGTAAAGGCATTTTTAATGTTAAAAGAAGTCTTATTCAGCAAAATTCATTTAAATGGATACCTCTGATCAGTACATTCAAAAACATCTATTATTTAGGATATAACACACCAAATGGTTTATTTGCAATAGCCTATAATTATTATTTTGAATTGCAAATGTTAAATGGATCTCTTTTTCAGATAAATAAAGATGGATAAAAAAAAAATGCACCTTTTAATCAATGAACTATAGTAATATCATCTACAGTCAACTCATGTTAAACTGAATTAGCAATTCAGTTTAAGTTTAGGGGACAGTAGTTAGTTTGCTTTATTGAAAATTTGTATGAATGATTTTCAGGGTCAAGGTTGTATAATTTACAAAGGTAAAGTTAATAGGCAATCAAAAACTTTAAATTATATTATTTTGAATTAATTCACTAAATAAAATTAAATAAAACTAAATTTATTTACCAAAATAAATAAATGATTTTAAATGATTTTCAAATCAAACGAATGGAGGAGGAGATGGTATTTGCCATTTAAGTGTAGAGCAGTATATCAGAGTGATTAAAGAAAACAAAGCTAAAAGAGATCAATGATTTTTTCTGTTTAAGATTGAAAAGGTAGAAATTATTATTTGCCTCCAAAAAAGTAAAAAAAAGCCAAATCTGGCATCACTTTATGCACCCTCCACAATATTCAAACTAGCATGTGTTGCATAGTACTGCATCTATTTAAAGGATGAGCATCCTTAAATTTTAATCTTTATTTTCTGAGTACAGTAGATGGTTTACTAAAACCAGATGTTTGAATTGCTCTACAATCAAAGGTCAAATCTGTCTTTGTTCACTAGAAGAAAAAAATTATTATACTCAAAATAGAACATTTATTGCAGTACCACTTTGCTTTTTACACTTTTTGATGTAAATAATAAAATCATTATTGAAAATAGGGTGATTTTTTGGGGTTATGAAGATATTTTACAGTTTGGTTTAACAAATTCTGGTAAAATTTTTGTTTGCTTAATTGTGTAAAAATTAACATTTTGTCAGGGAAACAGCAAAATTTGCTTTATCAGTGTTTGTTTTAAGGTGAGTTGATAGTATTTAGTATTTATCTTTCTAATATGCTATTGACTGTATGATATGACTTGTCTTTAGAAATTATATGATGTTGAAAACATAACAAATAGCAATATATAAATATTAAAATTTGTATGCATCATATAATAATGTTTTATAACCCAGGCAAAAGAATTTATAAAAATGTATATAATCTTAATAAAATAACAATTATTGCATTAGATAATAAATTTCAATACTCATAAAATTAATAGTAATATAAATATATTAAAATTAAATACTTTTAAATCAGCTCCAGTTCTGGCAACTGACTGTGCTGTACGAGTGAAATCTACTGCAATTACATCATCCCAGCCTTCAAATTTGCATTTGAATACTTGTGGATCAGTACTGAAATGAAATTAAATGTGTGTTTAAATACATGTTCAACAATATATTCAAATATATATTAATTAACCAAATTGTTTCTTTATAAGGTTCTATATACACATTTATTACTGTAATTCTTATAACTTTCCTATATTATAAAATTATAATATATTTATTAACTTATAATTTTTTTGAAAATTATGTCTTACCTTAGCTAGATTTTCATAGCTAGCAATAGATTGTATTAAATGTTATGTAAGTTTTAAATAAGAAAATCTATTGGTAAAAAGGATAAAAAAGCACGAGGCATCAATCAAGTTAAAAAATGCTCAATTATCTTGGTTTTTACATTGTAGTGAAAATAATATTAAAATTTTGTTTCCCAAAAATGATTTGTATCTACAGAAGTTTAAAGAACATATAGTGATAAAAAATAACAATAACTTAATTAACTTGAATAGCAAGATGTTAATAGATGACGTTTGGAATGACATCATATATAAGAANTCAAATGGTGAGTCCGTACCCCAAGGTTCCAATCTATTCTGGGGTATACGTTCGTTCTTCTTGCTTCTTGCACTCGTCGACGTCCTCACAACCAGAGACCAAGCCAAAGAGTGACTGACCCTGCGGTTCCTCTCGTACCGCGCAGGGTTATTCTCCCAACGACTTCCGTTTTCGCGGTTAGGGGTCTTCTGCCTTAGGGGCGTTTAGTCATAATCCCACAAACAATAGCTTCGCGCCACTGGCAACTCGACCAATCACATGTACAGTACAAAGTGTCCGTTACAAAGAGAGTAAATTTGAAATTTAATCAGGAAAACTTTCAAGTATTAAGATGTATATGAACATGACTGCAATGTCAGGATGATCTTAAAAAGTTGTGTGCACATCACTTCCAGGTAAAATATTGTCAATGTTAGTGCTTGTGCAGAGTCAGATTCAAGCATATTTTTTTCTCAAAAATTATTTATTTTAAATCAGCAACCACACATGCACACCGGGTTGTATATAACAAAATATGATCTACTTTAACCTATAACTAGATCCAGCTGATTTAGCTGAAGAAGAACCCAGAAGGGGTTAGGAAAACGTTTGTTTTGGAAGATTGAACTTTGTAAACACTGGTTATAGGTTCAAGTAGGTCATATTTTGTTTTAATTATTTATTTAGTGAAAAAAGTGTTAACTGCATGCCATCCAGTTTGAAAGATAAAGATTTCAAATTTTTAATGAAATTTTAAATATAAGAAAAGTTGAAAAATATATGATGTGGTGTCTATGAGACCCTACGCAACTGAGAGATTAAATGATAAACAAAAATCTAAATAGTAGTTGTCAAGTGACTGAGAATANGGATTTATAGTTCACACATGTACTACAGTACAGTTGATTATACAAATAAATTTGAATATATTTAATAAGTAATAATTTTTAAATCTTAAACAGTTTTTATTTGAATAGTAAAAATGAAAATTAGAAATAGATAGGAATAGAAACTAAGACTGGATTTTCAATTCTTACACATTGAAAACATTGTTTTTGAAATAATCAAGATTTGTGATAAATTTAATGGCTTTAAGATTACTTATTAATATTTTAAATGAGCTTATCAAGTTTTAAACTTGAATAATTCAAAGTTTAATTTTCACTTAATTAAAATATTCATTTACATTAAAAAATATTTCTCAAGAATAAATGTTTTATGAGAAGATAGATTTTAATCATTCATTTGGTTTTAGAAAATGATATATTTATAAGTTAAACCAAATTAAAATAGCAACTTAATTAGAATTCTTCATGTATTCTAACTGGAATTTCTTGAAGAAACCAAAAGCTTTTTACACTAGTAGTCTATTATTTTCTCACAGATATTCTTTTTTCCATGTAAAGATTGCCTGATGATGGGCGTTAAAAACATTAGTAAGAAAAATAATAAACAGCTAGTGTAGAAAAGTTTTGAAAGTGGCTTTTGATAAGATTTTTTAAACTTATATTATTTCAGGTAAATATTTTTCTACACTTTTAATGTGTATCAAAACAGCACAAATTCAAGGTGTTATTGGAAACAATAAGCAGATTGATAATGCAGATTTATGGCAATCTTGTTTACCATATACAGTCTTGAAGAAAGCATTACATTTTATAGATCATGAGGTATGAAGTATAATTAAGCATTACATTGTATGAAGTAACATTAAAGTCATATATTAAGTGTTTGTGTGTTTTAATTTAATAGAAGATTTATATAAAATAAAATAAACTTTTAACTATCCAGCAATAAAAAATGTTTAATAAAAACGTTTTCAACCGTTTTTAAATGGCCATCTTCAGTTGAACCAATATTGTAAGTTAAAGATAGTTAAAGGTTTATTTTATTTTATATTATTTATTCATTCCAGTATAAGTTCTTGCTTTTATTTATTTAGAAGATTTATATAAATTATTTGGCAATAACTTTGAAAAATGTAAAATTGGAAGATTTTATTTATTACTAATGTAGAAACCTACATTATAGACAAAGATTTTTCTAACAAAGTTTTGGAAAATTTTATTTTCTCAAAACTTTTGGGTGATTTTTGATCATGTATCTTAAAAATTCAATTTACTTTTGATAGTATTGCATAATAGATTAATTGAATTTCTTGATCTTTTAATATCGGATTTTGAGTGAGAAAAAATATAAATATTTTATGTTTTATGTTTATACAGATTATTACAACAAAGCTTGACTGATCACTTCTAACATAATTTTTGGTTTTACAGAAGTTTCAAACAAACACTACTCATTAATATGATTATGATTATAATTTATATAATGCATTATAAATACAATAGATATTAATCATATGAATGAATAATATAAATGAAATAATTCTTTATATAATATGTACTGTACATATATATTCTTATGGTTTTAGGTTTAGCAAACTAAATAAATTAATAGATTCTTTTGTTATTTTTGGTGTATATTCAATATTTTCTCTTTTATCATTAATTATATTTTTCCACCTGTTACAACATAACATAGGAAAGTATTGTATTTGTGTCAGATTTAACCCTCTAAATTTTTTACAAATCCTAAAACCAAAAATATCAAAAACTAAAGGAAAAATTGGAGTATGTGTATGTGTTCTCATCTATTTCATTTAATATCTCAGAATGGGGAAAAATTATGAAACCAAATATATTATGGTAACTTATATAAGGGCCATTGTTGCTATTAAATAAAGCACCAACAACCGCTGTATGTCATCATGCTATATAATGGCTATTATAAAATACAGTGGTTGTTAGTGCTTTATTATTATGTATTGGGTTTTTTGGGTTGTTTATATTTGTTGCTATTAAATTTTGGAGTACAGAACTCAAGAGGCTGGGAAGATAGAGAGGTGTTATGTGTCATATTTCAAATGGGGTTGGGCTTAATGAAAATTTTACTTGTTATTGGCATTTACAATATTTTTAAAGCTTATCTCTGTTCTCAAATTAAGCTTTTTTATAATAATCAATATTATAAAAGTTATTTTTTTAATAACTTTCAAATAATAACTAAAATTTCAGATGGCATCACACACAGTTTTAATTTTGAGTTATTGTCATGGTATTTTTTAAAATTAAATATTTTTTAAATGAACATTTTTATCATAATTTAACTAAATTACTCCTTTTAAGCCTTTGTTATTATTTAAATTTTATATCCTAATATAATATAAAATTATTGGACTTCCTAATTGTCCCCTCCTGTTAAATGCCAGAGAAGTCAAGCAAGAGCCCTTGACACCGTTTTTTTGGAACTGGAAGAAACTGGACATTCTTAGAATTAATGGATATAATCATCTAATAAAATTACAAAGTTTATATCATTTTTTGAATATTTGACTTTTTTTAGATATTTTAGTAACTTTAGTTCTCTCCAATTAATTGGGGCATTTCTTTATAATACTGTTTTAAAAACTTATGTCCACTTCATTTCTTCAAATTGATTGTAATATTGTTTTGTGATAGTCTTTGTAGAAATAGCATGTACTCCATTATCAGTAGATTCTTTTCTTCTGCATTAGGCTTTTTCAATACTTAAACTTTTAAAATTTCAATAAACTGCACTTTATTGTCATATATTCAATAGCTTTATTTCATAAAATTTATTTTAAAAATTTTTTAAACTTTGTTTTAGTGGTATTAGAGTATTGATTCTTTTTGTTGCCTGTAACAAGTATTTGATTTGGAAATATGCATATTCTCAAAACAAGAATTTTTAAAATAAAATTTTAGGTAAATTTTATATATAGTGTATTTTATTGACTTTTTAAATAAGGAAAAAAAAAGAATTAATAAAATAAATAGATAAAAGAATTGACTAATATTTACATTAGTTATTTTAATAATATAGACTGTGTATAAATATAAGAAATAATTACTAAGAAAAAGATAAAATGTGTAATTTCTTATCAGACAGTTTATTTTTATATGCATACATATTAATAATTATTTTACAGGTAAATGTATGCAATAATTTTAGAATTACTAAAATATTTGTTAAATAGACTTTTTCAATATTTTAAAATGAATTTTCAGGTTCAATTAAGTGCTTTTAGTCTTATTTGCAATAATATTAAAACAACACAACCATTTACCAGTAAGGAATTTGAACTTCTGAAACAGTTTTTACCTTGGTGCTTTACAAGTCAATTTCCTGCCTTTCGTCAACGTCTTCTTGCTGAATTAAAAAAGGTAGACATTGTTTCAAATATTTTCAAGAAAAATATTTTTGTTAGTCTTTAAAATAATATATTAATCAGCTTTTATCAACTTATGAAAANCTTTCCTATATTATAAAATTATAATATATTTATTAACTTATAATTTTTTTGAAAATTATGTCTTACCTTAGCTAGATTTTCATAGCTAGCAATAGATTGTATTAAATGTTATGTAAGTTTTAAATAAGAAAATCTATTGGTAAAAAGGATAAAAAAGCACGAGGCATCAATCAAGTTAAAAAATGCTCAATTATCTTGG